GTTCATGTGCACTGCAGGCCAGCAAACACACTAAACCTGTGTCTTGGTTGCATTAGAGTGGAGACATAATAAGATGATGATATTATCCTTTATTTATCTCAGCAAAGGCATGAATGTTCTGTTTCTACTTAAGGTTTACTGACAACTCTCCATTAAAACCACGACCTCTGGCCTTTGTTTGCTGCTGGTGATGGATTCAGTCTTGCTCAAGCGAAGCTCAGACTTCATCGCTTGTGCAGAATCCCAACAGGTCAAAGTTACACCTTCAAAGCTCGACTCATTGGCTTCTGACCTGCGGCTCAGATCAGTTTTCCGCGATCAGTTTAAAAACCAACATTCGCTGATGCTGACATTTTTTAAGCAACTTTTTTTCCTCTTCAAGGAAGAGTGTTTCTTCATCCAGACCATTAAGATACCGACAGCAGTTATAAAGTGCCCCTACTGTGCTCATTTACAGCCTCATAATTATTAGTATTTAGTTACAAAAATGTGCAGCAGCACCTGTTTAAAATCATTCTGGAACATTTATATTTTCTCTCGTCTCTTCCAGGCCGCCCCAAAAAATCCTAAAGCCTGCTCTGACTGACATGTCTGTCAAACGGCAACATCTGGAGCTGCAGCACTGCCACTTTGAATGACATCTGTTCTGTTTCTTAGTAGTTTGTGATGTTTACTGCAGATAATTCAAAAACCTGATCACAGGCAGGGCGTTCTAACGACTTACGTGTCTTTCCCTTGTCTGACTGCCGGAGACCTTCTCCTTCAGGGTAAACTGGGACCACGGTCACAGTGTAGGGAGTGTCTGATAGCAGGTTCCTTAGGATGGTGTTGGTTGTGCCGCCGGACACCTGCTCCTGTTCGTACACAGAAACACAGCTATCAGTCAAAAGAAAGCAGAAGTGGCGGATCTGAGGAGGATCATTCTGGCACTGATTCTGCAGTAATCATCCACAGAAACAGGAAAATTAGACTTTGGTGAAAAACTAGCTGGACCCCTTGTACAGAACATGCAGAGTGACATGACAAACATGACACTGGTTGAATCAGAAACAGCATTAAAAGCAAATGCCGAAGTGTAGGTGGGCTGCAAGGCAGCTTGCAGATATGTGCAGCAACTTTGGGCAAATTAAAGCAGATTAAACAATTCCTGATATGCAGAAAAAGGTATCTGATGAGCTGATGTGAATCTGCTTTGCCTGTCTAAGCTAATGCCCAGTTTTCCTTTGTGACACATGACAGGACAGGAAGTCAGTGTGATCTCTAACCATGTCCTCGGCCCCTCCGGACGCGGGCACGTAGAAGATGCGGTACTGCCGGACGTTGCCCTCCGCCGGTTCCCAGCGCACCTTCAGGGAGCTGGTGGTGGGATCACTGACCTGGAGGTTCTTCACTCCGCCCAGAGCCTCTGTGAGCACAACATGATGGTTACATTTCAGACCAGTTTCCTCGAGTGTCAAATGTCACAGAGAAGCAACATCTGCTGAGTTTCATATACCTCTTTAGCTAAACCTCCTGCAACTGTCATGTTGGTTCTTGATATATTAAAGCTAAGTGTTCTCCTCTGGCCAGTATATCTACTCTTACAGAGTAGTTTTGGTTTGGGATGTTTGCCTTCTCTAAACTAAACTTCTGGTGTTCAAAACACCCAAAAAAAACTTTTTTTCAGAAATCATTATCCAGTTATTTAAAAAAAAATCTAAAACCTATCTGTGAAAGGTTTTATAAAGGAACTACTTTCTTTCTTTCATCTTTATCCACCTCCCAAAAAGGTGTGCAGCCAGCTTACATTACAGCGCACCTTTAAGGTTTGCATCCTGTCATGAGCATGAGGCTCTTTTTATGGATAGATTCATAATTTCTACTGCAAAATATAGTTGGTGAGTGTAGTTTTGTGGAAAAAAGTAACTCCTGTATCAAGTCTGTGGATTTTTGAGTCGCAGCCTCGTGAATCCCAGAAAGAGAATTTGATGCACTCACTGGTCTTTCCGTTCTCCGATGCTCGTTTTCCCTCCGTGTCGAGGTAAATGGGAACCAGTGTCACTTTGTACTCAGTATCTGGACGCAGCTCTCTCAGCACTGTGTTGGTTGTAATCCCAGACACCTGAGTCTGTGAAGGGAAAATTAATAAGCAAATATCAGCCATGGACGGGTGACTTTAATGGGATTTATTTATCTCACTGGCTGGGGGTGAGAAAATGATCTTACTAAACTTACTAAACCAATACTTCTGGGACTGAAGCAGCTTTTAAAAGAGATTTTTCCCGCAAACCAGCCACAGACGTTGGCATCTTTGGAAAGTTTGCAGTCCGTGGCTCCAAGCAAGGCACTTATATTTTTAGGTGCTTTGGACCACAATTCTCAAAATTATACTGTTTTTACTTCGGGGTTTTTTTTCCAACCAATGTCCATCATTTACTGCCATAAATTTCTAAATACAAAAGAACCCCCACTCTCATGAGGGCTGCTCATGAAATCCAGAATGAATGGGGCCATACGGCGCTGCTCCAGCTAAAAATCTCTTTGCATGGGGTAAACATTTTTCTTTAAACAATCTTCATGTTGTTATTTATTTATTTATTTATTTTATAGATTTAGTTCCACATTGAGACTTCCATGAGCTATTTCACGACAGCTGCTGTTTGGAATTTCTGTGACGGTGAAACTAGAAACTAAAGGACATTCAGTGTCTCCTCATGGTTGACTGCTTCTGAATGGTGCAGGGAGTCCCTCACAAAAACAAAGGAGCGATCTGTGTTATTCTGAAGTATAACTTCATCATCTCAGATTTTGAATCGAGGCAAGGATTAAGCCCTCTCCTCTTGTCTGTGTTTGGCTGTTTCAGCTGTAACTCAGCTTCCTGGTCATCTCACTAACAGATATTTGGGGCCAGTCATTGTCTCCATTTCTGGTTTTAGACACTTCTTCTTCACATGGGTGCCTTTGAACATTTTTAATAGTCAGGTTTCTTATTTATTTTTATCCTCTCTGGCCACCTCACTCCGAGATGAAGAGGTCAGCACAGCTGGATTAACAGGAAGTGCACAGGCTCCCTGATGATCAGCTCTTCTCTGTCTCCACTTACTCATTTGTTTAAATTTTCCCAGAACTCTTGAAATCACACGTAGCGTGAGAATGAAACTAGCATCATTTATTCTAATACTGTAAAAAAAAAACAAAAAAAAAACAGAAACACGCACTTCGATGGTTTTACGGGTTTGGATAAACTAACTTGAACTCTGTTTGCTCACGTCAGCTCGTCGCAGTCTCTCATTCTCTGCTAATGTTCTAGGCATCAACTCGCAAACAAAGACGCTATAAAACTATAGAAGAATTAAGTGATTAGCGGCACATAAAATATCCTGTGGCGTTTTAATTTGTGCTCCCAGTGAGAATTCTGATTGTGTTTTTTGTGTCATGAAAGGAAGATGCTATAAGGCTTTGATGCACTCGTGTGCTCCCGAGAAAAGTCTGAACTCAGCTGAATTTAGTCAAATTTGATTCATCTTTCATCATAGCAGGTTTGACATTCATAACAGAAATAATTTAAAAACCCACAGCTGCTAACATTTATGAAAACCTGACCTGTCTTCTTTGATGGGATTATGAGATCAGTAAAAGCTTACCATGCTCTCCGGTCCTCCAGCGGCGGGGACGTAGATGATCTGGTACTGTCTGACGTCGCCCTCGGCCGGGTCCCAGCGGACCCTCAGTGAGTTGACGGTGGGGTCGGTCACCTGGAGATTCTTCACTCCGCCCAGAGGCTCTGAAACAGATGGGACACATCACAGCCTGACACGATGCGGGCGGGTGGAGTTCACCTCATCAGGACGGACCAGATGTTCCAAAGCCAGGGAGGCTGTCAGTCACAGAGGAGTCTTCTTTCCTTCCTGTGCCTGTCTAAACTTTCTGGTATTCCGTAAACAAACCCTATTAAACTGTTTTTTAGACATTAAAGAATTCCTCCAATAAAAAAAAAGTTTAAATAACTGCTGCAAATAACCCTTAGCATTTGTTTTATCCTGCAGGGTGCTCCAGATGGATGCGTTTGCCACATCAGGAGTGTCCAGATGTGTCAGACTCAGGGAAGTTGCCTAAACTTTCTGGCATTCATTTGCAAGCCACAAGCGTTCATATAAACAGGGACTATTTTCTCGCTGTCTGGCTGAAAACATCAGACCTTTAAGGTGGTTTTTCTCATGATTTGACTGCAAACCTTACATTGCTGGCAGGTTTTCCACACAGCTGGTAAAAATGATGGTTTAAAAAAAGGACATTATTGGAAAGAACACTTAAATAAAAGCACTTTTAGTTGGTGGTGTGTGCTATGAGTCAGCTTACTCTTCATGACTCTGGCTGTAAGTGTCAGATGGTTCTGGTAATGCAGGACAGATAGAAATCGAAGGAAGTACCTCAAGCTTATCTGTAAAGACTTTCTGCTAGAAAGCATCAATCAAGTTTTCTATTGTTTTTAAAGAGCAAAAAGAGCAAAAACAGCCTCAATCTCACGGTGAGGCCAACACCATTTATGTGTGATCAAAACATTGACCTCTACTGATATCAGAAGAAAAGATCTTTAACAGAAGACAAAATAAACTTCTGAGAAAGGCAGAAGGTGGTGATCGCATATTTGACAAAACTGTCATCTGTCTTCACTGGCTGTGATTCATTTGGTCTTAATGTGTAGTGAAAAGTGTGGTAAACCCACAAAAACAGAGGAAAAACTCATATGATGATGGGAAACCCAGTGTGTCAGTCCAAAGACACGACACAGGCGATGTAGTGGGGATGTTACTTATGGAGAGATGGGCAGCAGTAGCATATTGTTTTACTTTTCATTCATTTTCTGTTTTTTTCTGTCTCTGTAAAAATGACCTCCTCTGTGTCTGTGAGTGTTTCTGTCATGTGCTGTGCTGTAATAAAAATAAAGTTCAAATACAGACAAAGATCCTGTAAATAAATAAGTCTTGCAAACAATAGCACGAAAAGAATCAATTTAATAGATGCAATAAAACACGCGTTCTTTGGAGAGGGCTCTCGAACGCACCATCAGGGACAGATTATCAAAGCAGTCCAAACTAATAACTGCATAACCGCCGCTGGATGGTGAATATGAAAACATGTGGGATCGCTGGGGAAATACTCAGAAAGGGCGGGGCCTAAGTGGAAATGGCTAATAAAAAAAAAAAAGACTTTTGATGCTCATGCCATCAACGGTTGCCCAGGTGGACAGGCCAAAACCTTCCTACGGTGCAATAAACGTCTGTCAGTGTGTTTTATGTTGATGTAGTGGTTCCATGTTGGTGCAAAGAAATGTCATGTGATTTCCTCTGCAATCGAATTTCCCCACATCTGTCTAAAACGACAGAAATCCTGAAACGTCTATAAAAATTGGATGTAGTGACATCACCCATTGGTTGTTAAGTCCTGTTCAGAAGCCTCGAGGTCATCATTTCCTCCAGGTCTGCCTGCAAACACTGCTAACATTGAGGATTTAAAATGCCAGGACTAAAACCTCCAGGTAATGCCATCTTTTACACAGTCTGTGGTTTAAGAAAATCCCACTGTTCCTTTTTGGTCCTGTCTGTATGTCTGAAACAAGATTTGGTCATCTGACTCTTTATGGAGCAACACACACATGCCTCCAGGAATCTAAAAAATGCTGCTCCCCTTTGTGAAAACCCTGAGTGATCCACTCACTTGTCTTTCCCTTCTCCTCCTGCCTTATGCCCTCCACGTCTGGGTAGACTGGAACAACCGCCACCTTGTACGCGGTGTCGGGGTCCAGGTTCCTCAGGATGGTGGTGGTGGTGCCACCAGACACCTCCTCCTGTTCAACAAAGTGCCAAAGCCATCATTAGCAGATTACCTGATTACTGTTACTTTTACTGGGTAACTGAACCAAGATAAGACCCTGAAATTGGTCCATAAAACAGTTTGTTTGTTTTGTACCATGCGTTCTTCTCCTCCTGGTTGGGGCGTGTAGAAGACCTTGTAGGTCCGGACGTTGCCCACTGCTGGATCCCAGCGCACTGTCAAAGTGTTGATGGTCGGGTCGATCACCTTCAAGTTCTTTACTCCACCCAAAGGATCTGAGAAGGAGGAAAAGGCACTTAGCGCTTACATGGTATATAAAATATCCCTGAATATTTCCTACCTGCATCCAGCCCTAGGGACTCATGAAATATTCTTAGATTTAAACTTGAAATGTCTTTAGATTATTCCCAACATCAAATCAAGTTCATGCTTGATTCAGGAAAGATGCTGAGCAAGAAAAACGCTGTTTAACTCTGAGAACTGTGATTTCTATAAAGGGTCATTAGGACTCCAGCTATGTCTGATTTAAATTAGCTGGATTGTACCTTCAGTGTGGCCTCCTTTTGCATCTCTAGACACTGGTGCTATTCATAAATCACTGCCTGACTCTGATGTCCAGGTTCACTGCTGTCGTTGAGAGCATTACAAAGACCCAGAAACCTAACAGCAGCCTTTCAGGCCACAGCGTCCGAGCCTGAAGAGGGTGCATGCGCTCAAGATTTAGCATTAGTCGTTTCTGAACATTCCCCTTCCATTAAATTCAGGTGAATGCTGCCATGAAGGGAAAATCAGGGCAATGTAAATGCAATGACTGCTGCTTTTTAATGGTGGAATTTAACACAGGCTATGTCGGTGATAAATCTGATATAAGTCTGTGATTTGTATGTGATATATGTGTGTGATATATCGGGTTTAGTCTTCAACGCTGGCACAAAAAGAAAAGGCCCACTTGGGTTTAACAGTCTGACTAAGCTGCCATTATTTTAGTGTTTCCATTTAGCCTTGGATGTTAAAGAAACTTTGTTAATCATCTGAAGTACTTTCATTATTTAGGATGATTTCAAGTAAACTGCTGGCTTTCCCACAAAAACCATCTGACAGAAATCTTCAGTTTTATATTTATGTCTCTGTTTTTCTCTCGTCACTTCATATTTTAACATTTCAGAGTTTCCAACTGTAATCAGACATCTTCATTAGGTCTTGGGTCCATGTAGATGTAGCAGCTCATTATTTTTCCTTATAAATAAAACAAAAAATTGAGTAAAATTACTTCAAACCACAAGTTTTAGCTGTAAATCAGTCAGCAGGACTCACTTGTCTTCCCATTTTCAGACATGGGCTTTCCCTCCATCTCGGGGTAGACGGGCACCAGGGTGACAGTGTACTCTGTGTTTGGATCCAGGTTCTTGAGCACCGTGCTGGTGGCGGTTCCAGGAACCGAGTCCTGAGTTGGGGGGAGGAAGAAACAACTTTGAACTGGATGAACTCCTTGATCTGGAGAACAAATGAGCGCTTTGGCAGCCGCAGACAGATTCTCAGAATGAGCAATGTCACCGTTTAATGTTTTCTTGGACGCAGCTTCACTCAGTATCAGGAACAGTTAAGACTCTGAGATAAAGATGGATTTCTGCACAGGGCTACCACTTTAAAGGCTGTCCTGGGACAGGATGGAGCTTCAGACAGAAAAAATGAGAGCAAGTCTTCCTTTGCATGCACTCCTTCAGGTCTATGCTGCACTTTCAAAATTCTACTTCTTCTTTGTCCATTTAATCTAATTTTGTGCCAACACCATGAGATAATGAAATAAAAAAAATCATCTTATTTTACGACATCTTCTGACATAACCTTTGGGGTAATGAAACTAAACAAGATATCACCACAACTTCACATAAAACAGTCAAACTTTCTCCTGACTCAGTAGATCTCATTTCTCTGTCAAATGTTTTCCATTATTTGCAAGAAAACATCATTTTTTTAAAAAAGGCAACAACCTCATCTGGTGGTTTTCATCTTTTGATATCGTGATCTTACAACTTTTCCCAAGACAAGAACACTCTGGTGTGTAACTGCCTTGGAAACGACCTCACGCCACTGACTCGACGCCACAGTAAGAGCCAAAAGGGAAAAATAATATCTGCTCACATGGCAACCTGATCTCCCCTTAAAGATGAGACTTCTAACTTTGATTCGTCAGAGGTCCAATTTTACACACACAGGAGAATTTTGCACTGGCTTTTTGCCCACAAGGATTTTTAAAGTAAGAAGAAACTTCCACATCCTTACCACATCCTGCTCTCCTCCAGCTGTGGGCACCCAAATTACGATGTACTCGCGCACATTCCCCTCCGGTGGCAGCCAGCGGACGTTCAAGGTGCTGGTGGTGGGATCGGTCACCTGCAGGTTCCTCACAAAGCCCAGTGGCTCTGAACAGAAGTACAGCCAGAACAGGAAGTCAGTCAGTGCCTGGATCTGAGTGACATATCTTTAGTGTAGTCAGAGGTTAAGTGGTTTTTGGTGATAAGTTTCAAATCTTTAAATAGGGAACTTTGTGAAGCTGCAAAAACGTTTGAAAGAGAAAATCCTGCAGTATGCCCTCAGTCTGCACCTCTGACCCTGGAGTAACGACACTCGATGGAAGACGTTTAATGTACGAATGATATGTCGCAAGTACTGTCCTTAAAAATGTTGCATGTGAATCACTGATCGCTATGGTAGATCTACCATCACTGTTCTAACCTGTGAAGATGGCAGACTGCCTTCAGATTTTCCCGTCAGTGACAGAAAATATTCCGTTAACATGATGTCTAGTCTGGACTGGCTTGAAGGCCGGGATCAGCATTGGCCCGGCTCTCTGCTCTCTGAACCCATTATTTCCAGTGGTTTGTACCTTGCTTCGTCATTTTTTACTGCTTTTTTAAGCTTTCATTGCTATTCACTGTGACAAACACC